AGCGTCCCGTCGCAAGACTACGTGCTGCCAGCAGAAGTATAAAGTTCACTTTTAGGCATCATAAAAACAAAGCTTATATTTATTTGTGTCGATATAAAAAGGGTTTTGGGTTTAGTGTGCTGGAATGGCTTGCAATTTTTGCCTTAAAATTCTTTCGTTTTATTCTCTTGATACCTTTTACAAATGTTGTTCGATCATCTTCATAAACAGCAATTATGCGAAATAGACCCCACGTCCAATAGAAAAAACTAAACACTTCGGCATACTTCGATCTAAAGTAGATATTAAAGATCCATTTGGGTCGAATATTCATTAGAGAAGCTTAAGGAAATTCACAATGTAAATGTTTCCGAACATACTATTACATAATTAATTATAGTTAGTTTGAGTTAGTTTTTTAATCAAGACCCTTCAAGAGTCTTTAAGCGAATCAATGCCGTATTTGTCTAGTTTGCGCCTATCAGGTCTTAGTTAGAGAACGAAGATATTCTTTGTTTTTTACTCTTTCTAATAAAAATCTTATGAAAATATTTCATCTTGTAACAATAAACTTAAATTGGCTAACGAAAGATATTCCGAATCATTTTTCTATTAAAATAAAAAATAAATTAGCTTAATATATAGAATTGTATTGAAAAATTGCTTATAAGAGGAGCGCAAAGATATTTCGCTTTTTTTTTTAATTTCTTAGTGTCCATGCCTTTATAAATTATTTAAAAATAAGTTTGCTGCCGAACATTCATTTTAAAGCTATTGTAACAAAAAGTTTCAATGAAATTATTATTTATTCATATTCATGAGCTAGTAATTGACCGGTCGGCTACTGCACAGATATTATGAATATTGCGGTATTTATGGCGAGTATTTTGCCACCCTAAGTGATGCCACTTTTGACAGTGATAGCAAGTATTCTTTTGATACAACAATCACTGGTTTAGATGGTGGGAAAAGAAGCGACGCTGGCGGCTACCGATTACATATGGTCAGCATGTGTAAATGTCTAAATTGTACAGCAACAAAAGAAGAAACAACAAAAACAACAATAACGCTATCTCTACACAAATTATTTAACAAGACGTAAATATTCACCAGTAGAACATAGAAAAACACGAGCAAGACGAAAACGTGCATGAAAAAATGTGTGTGTGTTTTTTTTTAAAACTTAACGAAAAGAAGAATGCGTTATAGTTTAGTATAGTATATAAAACAAGCCAAAAGTGAAGAGGGTGGAATGAATATAGGGGTAGAGATAAAAATTACGCTATCAAATGTTTTACTCTATAATAAAATTATCATAGAAAAGTGCTTAGCCGAGAGACATACGCACAATAATTCATATAGATATATAACAATTCGATTCATCGTAGGTCTGACCTTAAATCGTGTACATATACGTATATTGCGAGTTTTTTTTACAGATTTTAATTTATTAATATAGGGCCAGTGACTGCGTGGCTTACACTGAACAATATTTATATTCGTTGTTGACGATGAATTATATACTAGTTTTGTATTATAACAGAACGAGGAAAATTTCGTGACGTTTTTCTCGATAGATGAACTTAGAGTCGGGTAGCACTGATAACACTAACGCTATCAACAAGTTTTACAACGGTACGCATGAAAGGTGACGAATAATCGGCAGAAAAAACATTGTTACATTTTTTAAGTTAGCGGAAAATATTTGCTTATTGAAAATGCAAGAAATTCGGATAAATAGTCGATCACTTGTTAATTGATGATGTATATTTTAAAACAATTGAAGAATTCGATGTTTTTCGTATTGTAAATTCGTTGCCGAACTGAATATTAACCAAAGAGATAGTGTCGAACCATTTGTAAAATCCTAGATGGGAAGGAAGCTCGATATATCGGTACCATATTTTTGAACTAAGTCAGAAAAATATAATGCAACGAATTCCTATCTGCGGGTCTGCGTTATTGAAAACAAACGCAATTGAATCAATTTCAAATAAATTTGATAATGGGCTATGAAAACTGGATCACGTACGACAATAGAGTGCGAAAAAGGCCATGAATAAATTTGCATAAACGGTGAGAAAGGTAAGGAAACGCCTTATGTCAATCAGATTGGAAAGGAACTGGGCACCGTGAGTTGTTCTGCGTTCGCCAGACGATTCCGCTACCTAGCACCAAACCCTGGGGCGATTAACTACTACTTACGCAACTAAATTAAAACTTTCGGAATTTATCAACACGAAAGGCTTCGTCTTCCCTCACGACAATTCGAAACAATATAAGTTTTTAACGATTGGACAAAAGTTAAGAAAGCTTGATTCAACAGTTTTGCTGCATCCACAGTGTTGCCTGGATCCAGTCGTGGCCGATTCCCAGTTTTTTAGTTCTCTGTTGATCTGTTTCAATGAGGTAACGATGAATTCAAACGAAGACATTGAAATTGTTTTTTTCCCAAAAGTCGGAAAATTTCTACGGTGATGGTGCAATGGTTTCACCAGAAAAATGGTAAAAGATTGTCCATCAAAGTAGCACATATCTGATTTAATAAAGTTCATATAAAATTATGATGAAAAATGCCATGAGGTGTTCATCTTTCCCGAATCGCAAAAATTAAAGGACAAAACTCAAAACACAAATACGAGCTGAATTTTGAAAAGCGATTACTATTACCCCAAATACTACGTTGTTAACTTGCATGCGTTGCATATTCATTTCTGTTCAGTGACGGATAACGATGATTTTCAGCGGTACTTTTTTTCTACATTAATATGAACACTGCTACTTGCCGCAAATGGTGGGTCACTGGCGCTTAATATGATATATTCAATGCTCAAAGTAACTGCTACACCATTATTTACATCACAAAATGCGAAGATGCAAGATTATGTAGTCATGTGAAACCTTAGTTTTCGTTAAAGCTCTTTTATGGAATGTTTAATGGTTTAAATTTAGCACTAAAAACTTTTATGTAAGAATATTTATATCGCAGAGATTTCAAAACTTCTGGTCTCATCGCATCAACATTTTTTACAATCACTAATAATGGCAAAACACTATTTCCCACATACAATCTATGTCGGAGAATGTTTAAAATTTGCAAATTTTTTTCATAATAACAACCTTTTCAAAATATGGCTTTATATGTAACCATAAAAATGAACCAATTCCACTTGTTTTCACATTATCAATCGTCTTTTGATCAAAGCATAGTACTTTACAAAATATCATTACAATATCACGAACTTTGCATACTTTACGTTACGAGAAATAAAGCTGAGTTGATCGATGTAATCAAAAGTGGGTCCATGTCAAGTCCTTGTTTTTGTTGTGTACATGCGACCAAACTTAATTCTACATTTTTATAATAAAACCTGCCATGATGTTCCCCATGGACTCATAGTCAGAAAGGAATCAATGAAGGCAACCATATCTTGGACAGAAAGGTCCTATTGGCCTAAAATCTGGGACAGATACGCATTGAGGAACTTAATATATCGTTTCATAATAATAACCCGAGTATCAGGCTTGATAATCTATGAATTATGAAATCAACTAATGCTTCGAATTTACAAACTTACTTTTTTTATCGCATTAACTGTTAAAGTAAAGGAAAAATGCAAATGAAATTTTAAATAAACAAAAGGTCAAAAAAGCAGCCCAAAATCTATGCACAGGCAAATGTGTATAATATATATATATATATATATATATCTGTGTATAATATATATATATCTATATGTGGGCATCCATTGTGTGGTTCCGAAAGTAAATGTAAACAAAACACACTTCTAATTGAGATTTTGATCAATTGTTTTTGCAATATATTGCTTAAACGTTGCGATTATTTCTGGAATACAATATATACAAAGTTGTATAGTGCACAGAAATCGCTGGAACTTTTCTCGAAAACAAATAACACAGGGTGACGTTTTGTGGATGTGCGTTGAAGCTCATTTTGTTTAAATGGCTTCGTAAATAAGGAATATTGCCGCTTTAGTGGCAAGATACCACACGTGATGTTTCCAAAACATTTGGACGTGCACAAAAATTAACTTTCGGGTGTGGTTTGTGGGCGGGAAGTTTCATTTTTGAACACGAAAACAGTATTGCGGTTACCTTCAATGGTGAGAATGTTATAGAATCATGATTAATGATTTTAGTGCCGAGAATAAGATGATTGCGACTTGAACAATTTGGTTTTAACAAAAGAATGCAACATACCGTATATATCGTAGCAACATCAGTTTACTGGAAAAACAGTTTGATGATCGCGTAATCTCTAAAGGTGGCTATGTGAGCTAGCCATCAAACTCATACGATATAATTCTATTGGGCTCTTTACTTTGGGGTTTTGATGGATCATGGACTTCAATAAAAAATGAATCCACAACGACCTTATTCATCAAGACTATTTGTGCCATCGGTGAAATAAGAAGAGATTCATGAATATGGAATCATTTTTAAATAACAATGACATAAACCAGTATCTGTAAAATTAAAGAAAATACATGTTTACATCTTTCACCGATTAGACTTCACTATAAATTAAAAATAAAAAAATGAAAAACATTTATTTGATGACCACAGCGAACAGAGGTTATATGTAAACATGACGAATGTATTTCAATACGGACTTATGAAAGTCCTGATAGGGAGGATAACAAATTTTTGTCACATTTTTATTGAATACTCAAAAGTAATTCTGAATCCTTACAATTAGTATTATTCATCACAGTAAATGTATTTATCATGATATATATAAATAATTTCAATTGAACTTTCATCGACAGCTAATTGCTTACACTGATAAGGGGTAATGGAACATAGATAATATCAAAGACTTAAAATAACAATGACGTTATAAATATGCGATCGTAAAATATTATCTTTCCATAGGACATTTGTGAAAATGTATTTTCTTAATTTCATTCATATAAAAGTCTATTAAAATACGAAATATGAAAAATAACACTATTTTATTCTTTTCATTATTTTTTTTATTTTTTATGTAATATTTTCAGAGTATTTTTTCCTTTATTTTTTTTCTTGTTTTTAACTATTTATGTTATTTTGAGTTAATCAATGCTTCTTACAACGAAAGAACGCCACAGCATTACCATCGACCTAACTTAAACCACCTTTAAAGGAAGCACAGCAGTATTTAAAATTTAAAGACAACATACTTAAAAAAAAAAAAACATATTTAAGATTCCTTAAACAAAATGATGAACATGGACATTAGTGTAACACCAAATTATTCATATATTTTTGATTTCGAAAATGATTTCATCCACCAACGCACACGCAAATGGATGGTCGAAAATTGGACGTGGGTTTTCTATTATTGCGGCATTTACATGTTGGTGATATTTGGCGGTCAACATTTTATGCAAAATCGTCCTAGGTAAGTGGAAGAATGATAAACACTTCAAAAATTTCCAAAATTTTCTTCTCATAACTACGTGTATACCAGCTGGCCTTAATATGCTATATTCCTGGCAACTAAGTTTCATTTATTTTTACCTTGAACGTTCAGGCTACCAAAAAACCTGTCTCTGTTGTATCGGCTATTGTTTATTTTTCGACTTATTAATAGAAAATTTTGTTAGGGCATGAGAGATATTCTCATCTTCCATCACTAAAAGCAACGTTTTTTTTTGTTTTTTTATAAAAATGAGGTTTCATATTTGCATTGTTCTCAGAAAGCCTTGAGCTTAAGATAAATCGATTTTTACGCCATAAAACACCTTATGGTACATTAGCTTATGCCATTTTGCGCGTAACAACCTGAAAGAGTTCTCAAAAAATGTGCAGCCTCAATTTCTTATTGTCTATTCACTAGCCTATCTGTCAGATCATTACGAGATAGTATTACGGCACTAGAGATATTAATAAAACAATTTGAAATATAAAGATATTTTATTCAAGTGCATGAAAGAGTGATCCTTATTCTCCACATCATTTGCAATTAATAAAATAAAGCAAATAATAAATGTGATTTGCGTTAAGATCCTTGGACACCCGTATATATATATATATATATATATATGGTCTACACTAGTGGATCAATCTTGTTTGGTTTTCCGGGAACGCATTCAAATAATTTCGGTATAATATTTTAAAAAGAGTACAAACTTGATTTGGTGTGGCCGTCTTCGTCTGTTCATATGTCTGCTCTTTACCTTTCCTTGGAACGCCAGGTAAATATTTTAAAGGCATGTAACATATAACTTACGGAAGATGTTGGCCTAAAACATGATACAAATATTTGCTTTTTTCCACCTTACTGGAAGATTGACAATATCCAATAAGTACCCAAGAAGAGTAACTCCATAAATCGTGCTAATTAGCGCTCAATTGCAATCTGCTCTGCAATAACCAAAATCATAGAAACTATGGTCAACTGTCACTTGGTAAGGACTCATTTGACTGAAGACTTAATGTCCTACCTCAGCGACAAATGATGGCGAGCTATTCGCCATATTTTATTCCGCGAAAGTAAGATTGTTGCACTGAGTATCTCCATGGCAGTCGACAGAGTATAGCACGGTACTCTAGTCTCTAAACTGATTTCTATTAGTGTCGATGGGAATTTCATTCGACTTATGTCGAATTTTCGGAATAAATTCCATTTAAATGCAGGAGTCCTACAAGATTCTGTTCTTTCTTTTTCGCTTCTTCCTTCTGCTCAACGACTTTGTATGTGTGACAGAAAACCCTATTTATTCATTTGCAGACAACAGCACCCCGTGTCAGTTATTCTCTTCTACCAGGAAACTCAGCAACGCCGAAATACACAGCAGACGCTGAATGTTGAATGACACATTAAATCGAGATCTCATAAAAATAACAGAATAGGTTTAAGCTAATTGGATGAATTTTAATGCTATCAAAAGAAGGAAGTGATAAACAATCCCTCTCCTTCGGTGTCATCGATATAGAAAAATCGGCAAACATTGTTGTTTTGACTATGAGAAAACAAAATGATGTTCGTTGGGCAGAGCATATATTCAGGGTGTCTAAAGAGGCAGTCGATGGCGTAGGTTGTTTAAAGATTGGTAGGTTGGTTAAAAAATACGTACGGCGTAATGTGGGCTGCGTAATACCAACGTATAGCAAGTGTTCTACAGAGCAAGTGTCTTTACAGAGATTTTTGAATCGACTAAGTCCTTCAACAGGGCTACAAGCCTTTCTCAGCGTTCCCAACTACCTGTCATAGAATTGCATGCATATCGCATGGCACACTACGCTAACTACACTGCGCGTCTTTGAAACAATCTACCAGCAATGCCTGATGTCTCCACGTTTAAATCAAGCATACACAAACACTATTCCCTTCTTCCATCCTTCTCTACTTACAGCCCCTCATGGTCACTACCGTAGCTGCGCGTACAAGGGACACCCCTGATTGGCTGCTCATATACAAAAAAAATCAACAATTTTGCTCATGGCGTGTAAAACTTTACTATCTGCTTAATATTGCAAACAAAATAACAATTCATTACTATTCTGCGACAAAGTAGTATAAAAAACTTCAAAAAACTATTAGGGGATGAGACGAGAAGAACTACACAGGTGCTGCTCTGAACAATGTTGTGTGTTTCCATCATCATTTATTGCTATCAATTTCTAATCCTTGTTGTTCGTATTTTTAAAAAACGCTTGTGTCGAAATAGTTTTCACTTTATTTTTCACATACGTGCATAGGAAATTCCGCGTGGAAGAAAAGTTTTCGCGGTACGACTTACATTTTAACGTGTGAAGTCTAATCAGATTTAATTATTAGTAAAATATTGTAATTTGAAATGGAGTTATAGACATTACAGAAATCTCGGCTTTTCTTAGGAAGAAGATTTTTTGCAAAGAATAAAAATACTTTCTTTCTGCCGCCTAAAGCGTTTGCAAAAAAGCATCTTAAACTGATAATTTGGCTAAAACATTATAGTCGGGCAAGACCAGTCTTTAAATACCATGCACCATGTCATCGAGCGCAATTCTTGACTTACCTTCGTTATAAAATATTAAAAATTCTTACCACATAGAAGGTTACTTTCCATGAGAACTCTTATATGGTAGCTTATGGCAAAAGTGGACCACTGTTGTCCATAACACAGTAAATTTGTAAATTGCTATTTTGAATGAATGAATGTTCATCGTGAAATACTCAAAATTAGGTCTTGTTGTGACGACATAAAAGTTCTTTTTTTTTTTTTTAAAAACTTCTATATGTGAAAGCATCTTTAAAATATGATCCTAACCGTTTCAAAGTTTTCACCAATAATTAATATGCCAAAATGGTGTTTTTCACGACATTTTTGTCACGAAATATTTAAAAACTTACATAATCGGAATGTAACGATGTTTTCAAAATAAGGTGTTATAAGCGAAGTGTTCGTACAAAAATTGGTCGACCAATATCCATGGTCAAAAGCGTCCTTACGATTCAAAATATCTGAAAGGTATCGCGACCCCAACAGCGTATTTGAAAGGTCGATTCAACTCCCATTAACTTAAAATATACCCAGTAGACTTGTGATCGTTGCAGTCGATTTAGGTTTCGATGTGAACCATAAGTTATGCTTAGCGGATTGGGACACGAAAATCATCTTCGGGAGAAAAACTTACCTAACGAAATCTTCGCGACCCCTAAGTTTCCTTTACCTTATGTATAGAACGTACATTTTGTGTGGCCATTAATTTGTCAGACACATTCCAGCTTCTTGAAAATATCCCAAACAGGTTTAAATTTAATATGCTGGCGAAAATTTCAGCTATCAATTAATGTATGACTTTCCATACGTGCATTCCATACACTAGCGAAAAAATTACTTTGCTCGGACTCCATAGATTTAGAATTAATACTCATGTGTGTAATGCATAAATAAATCTATAGAGAATACAAGACAAAAACTTGTTGCACAATACGCCGGTAATCCATACAAAATAATTTACTTTGTGTTATGCATATTTCCGTATTTAAATGCTTGCTATTATAGTTTACCTAAGCCAGACTGTGCGTGGAATTGCATTAATTTTGTTTGTAATAATTGAAACTTGAAATAATTCTTATGTTTAGTTAACAATATACGTGATCTAAACTTTAAAAACAAGTTCGAAATTTCAATACATTTTCATTAATAATCAGTGAACTATTAAAATTTGCTTGAACATCTACGATTTTTTGAAAATTACCGATGGTGGTATCCTAACGACTTAAACATATTTTTTTAAATATTACGTAAAATCAAAATTTATTTATTTATCTATTTATTTTAATAATTAAATTTATTTTAATATAAGCTAAAAGTAGAAAGGGTCGGCTATAACTATATGGTTTTTGAACCTCGAAACAAATTAAATGCGATTGTTAATAGTATGAGATGTTTTGAAAAAGTGTGCAAATATAAGATTTACAATTTCAAAAATTTTAATATGATTTAAAAATTCAATAAGTGAGAGAGGGAGAATTATGATTTATACGGCCAAAGAAGCATACACAGGAGGACGTATATTTTTAATCAAATTAATGTTGATCATTGATCTTTTTGTATCCTAAACACAATCTAGTTAACTTGGAAATGTGATGGATGTCATTGCAATCAACAGTTCGCTAATGGGAAATAAATGGCAAATTTATTATGATTTATTGGACTATGTTAATTAAGGTGAAATTTTGTTCCATTATAATTGTTGACTTTCTTTTAATATTATGAAATGTTGTTTATATCAAAGCATTTTAAAATTATTAATAATGTGCCGCCACGCAATTAAGTCATTAATAAAACCTTTTTTTTTTTAGATTTGATAAAAAATGAATTACCAGAAATGAAAAGTTTCATAAGAGATCATGCGAAAGAACGAAATCGATTTTTGTTTTGCCTTAGTCGAATGAAACGTTTTAATATTGTTTCATATGTATTAATTTATGCACTTATTTGGTAATATTTCTTTGCTATATACAGTATATATGTTAATCTTGTGCGTATGTCTATAACATCTAAAAAAGATTAAGATAAACGTCCCGATTCAGTCGATCGATTTAGAATCATTTTCTGGAATTATTTCAGCTTGTCCGTCTAATCTTTACTCATATATACTATGGTTTAATCTATAATTCACAATTTTAGAGATATTTTGCAGAAATTTGCTAATCTGAAAGACGCGTTTTGACCCATGTACAAATGCTATTGAAAATCGATTAAATTCAACTACTTTTGCGTTCCCTCGCTATGTAAAGTCGCATTTTGGAAGAGCCATTATATTAAACAAATAATTTTGAAAATTTATCGATTACGCTCGTTGGGTAACAGTATTTCAGCGTAGTAAGATAATGCATCATATTTGGCCTACATTTTTAAATCTTCTTCCATGTAAAGAATCCTTTTACACTACAAAATAGTCTAA